CCTCAGCCTCCCAAAGGCGCGGGATTACAGGCTGAGCCACCGAGCCCGGCTTAAATTACTTTTATTCTTATCAAAGTCATATGTGCATGTTGTGCTGAATAGCTGGTGGTTTCAGTTGCCCACCTGTCCTGCCCTGCCTGCCCCATCCCACCCCACCTGCCTTGCCCTAGTGCCCATGTCTATTGCTCTCAGCTTATTTCTCCTAATATTTACCACTCTAGGTCTGAAGAACCCCCAATACCCACGGTGCCCCCTTCACTCTAACAGAAGAGGTAATACGCATGTGGATCATTCTCCATTTGCTCACATTGGTCTGTTTGCGCCTCTTTTGTCCCAGGCTCCATTGATCTTGGGTGGTGGGTGGGCTTGGCTGGTGAAGTTCCAGCAGCCAGAGTTGAGGACCAGGGTGGAGGAGGGATATCACACCTGTGCTCCTGTCCTGCCATAGCATCCTCCCTGTAGGGCTGTGGCCCTCCCGTGGCTGCTGCTGGGCACCGCCTCCCGGCCATTGGCTGCCCCCATCCCTGGGTCGGTAGGGGTCAATTCTTGCTAGTCCCTCAGTGTCCTGCCTGGGTTGCAGAGTCTGTCCCTTCATTAGTGGCCCTTCATGCATTGCAGCTGAGAGTGCAGTCTTGTTTCTGCCAGGACCTTGACTGATAGACTAGTCCATAGTCATGTACCTCCTGTTGTCCTAGAAATTTCTCTTACAGTTGGTTGGTTTGAATCCAGATCCACTTGTTGTATTTAGAGGGTTGGAGGTCTCCTACCCCTTCACCTAGAGCAGCAGTGGCCCTGCTGTCCTGTCTTCTGTGACTGCCTTGCGGTGTGGTCTGCTGTGAGATGTCACCCTGCTACCTCCTGATTCTCAAAGCAGTTTCTCAATTCATCAGTGTCATTTATCGACCTGTTGAGGGAGGATTTAGGTTTCTTGTCCACCCTTCAATTTAACTATCTGCATCTTCCATTCTTTTTAAAAAATTTTTTATTTTAAAGATATGGGATACAATTCAGGGTTAGGCATACAAATATCCATTATGCATTATGCAGGTACCCTTATTGATGAGGTGTGCCCTTCCTGTGCCTGGCAGTTTTCCACTCTTGCCAATCCCTTTCTTATAGTATTATAATTGTTTTAGGTCTCTAGGTCCGCTTATGTGAGAACATGTGGTACTCAGTTCTTTTTTTTTTTTTTTTTTGAGTTAGATTCTCTGATGCCCAGGCTGGAGTGTTAGAGTGTAGTGGCACACTCATGAACACCACAGCCTCAACTTGCTGAGTTCAGGCGATCCTTCCACCTTACCCTTTCAAATAGCTGGAACTACAGGCATGCACCACCATGCCCAGCTAATTTTTGACTTATTGTAGAGATGAGGTCTTGCCATGTTGCTCAGGCTGGTTTCAAACCCCTGGGCTCAGGCAGTCCTCTCATCTCGTTCTGCCTCTGGCTTGTCATTGCTACCTGTAGCTTCAGACAGTTAGGGTTAGAACCAGAAAGTGGGG